CAAAGCTAACACTGAATTGGATCTAACTTATGCAACGAGGATAAAGAATGGAGTGAGACAGATTTGGGAGCCATCCTTCAGATCTCTCCACTATTAACAGACATGCCCAACTTGCTCACAGAAGAGTCTAACCCACTCCTGCAGTTCAGGCTTCCAGCTGCTGCCATGTGAGGTGTCCACTGGAGGTGCTCCAGGCATCAGAGCTGAGAGCTGCTCTCCACCACTGCCCTCAGCAGCCTCATGCCTACCCAGGGTGTGCTACACAATACTGTTTTTCCACCAGAGTTTGCTTTTTTTAAGCCTGGGCAATTATGGGGGTGGGGGACAGCTTCACTAAAAGCAGTAATTTTATGGTTATAGCATCAAGGACTCCAGAGTTGAGCAATATCAACCAACAGTGTCTGTGTGAGCTTTGCTTGGCCCCTTGGTGCTGACATGTTACAGTTCAGTCCTTCAGTTACATGAACATCTACTCCTTTACACAGGATTTCAGTAGTACCTGGGCCTTTTTGATGATGCTGCCTATTCCAGTCCTGCAGTAAAATCTTCAAAAATGAAAAAAAAAAAATTCACAGCAACACTTGCCAGAGGATGAGACCCAGGGCTATGTTTTGCAATGAAGGCAGCTGGCTAAAGGACAGAAGACCTCATGCAAGCAGAACTGCAACATCCACTCATGTGTTACTACAGCCACGGAGGAGAGCCTCAGAAGTGCCAGTAAAAAGCTTCCCCCAGACCAAGCACAGCTTCCCACCAACCACAAGATGCAAATCCACAGGAAGCTCCAAGTTAATTTACTTCTAGGGCCACCCAGTTTCCAGAAGACTCCAACTACCAAGGCAAGTCCAGCTCCTGATAAACCACTGAAGATTCCTCTTCATTATCTAACTCCTCTTCCATCTTTTACAAAAGCTGAAAACAAGCAAGAAAAAACCCAAGAGACTTCACAAGCAGGCAAGCATGGCAAATGCACCTAAAAGTTGCCTCTAGTAATCAGCAACCTTGCTTGCACCAGACTCTGCTTCCCAGCAGGATGCTAAGCAACTTGCTTCAAACACAGGGTTTTTTTAAAATATATTTTACATTTTTCCATTAATCATTTTCTTTCATTTTACCAGAGTTTGGCTTGACAATCTGGAGTGTAATTTGCAGAAAGGCTGGGCACTCAGCAGCTGTAACAGAGGTCAAACCAGCTGTGATTTGAGCAAGAACAATGCTCAACTCTCTTAAAAAAGATCTCGAGTCTGAAGAATTTCCATCTTGGAATCCCAAACGAGTCAATAGCTTTTACACTAACTTCTCTAGCCTGCTGGCTCCTGCCTGCAGAAGGGGGACTGCTGCACACTTGCACATCATTAAGATGTACTGCAAGCAAACCTCCTTGCCTGCCCAGCACCTGTGTACTGTGTACTGAGAAAAACTGGTGAGGATGTTGATAATTTTGGATTCAGAGCAGGTTTTGAACAGTAGGCAATAAACAGCTCCAGGCCATGCACAGAACAAAAGGTTAAACTAAATTACTGAATAGCTGCTCATTAGCTCAGCTCTTACTGTTATATGCATTGTGTGAAGACAGCAGAGTGAGAGAAAATGGATGTATCTACAGGAACATTTAATTCCAAGTCATCCTTGGAGGTGAAATCTCTTGGTTGTCCCTACTTACTGTGTTTTTGTTTACACAGTGGAATTTTGAAGTGCATGAGTTGAATTAATTTCAGATTAAAGTATATTGGGAGATGTGCTCCAGGACTGCATTTAATGTGCCTCAACCTTTGGCAAATCCAATGAGATTAAAAAAGAATGCAGAAGTGATAGAAATTAGGACACTAACTTCTGGAATACTCTGAGACATCTGGCTTTAAATGTCACCCTTTTTTAACTATTCTTTCTATGTAGCATATATCTGTAAAGCAAATTGTTTTTCAAATTACTGTTCTGAGAAAGAAACAGACAATGCCTCAGCCACTGAAGGAAATGGAAGTGTCAATATTCTGCACATCTGCCCCTGCATTTTAGTTCTGTGGAAGAGGAAATTTAATGCAGATGGACTTGACACAATTAAGAATATCCCCTAAGCAGAAATGCAACAATGCTCTCTGACATCTCAGATCATAGGCCTGACTTTGTAGGAAATACAATTAGCCCACTGCCACACAAGTGCACTTTTTTGACTTCCTCTTCAGTGACAAGCATCACTGTCTTCATCAGTGCTCCATGTTCAGTAGTTTCAAAACTGCTGCTTATGCAAGACTAAGTAAGTCCTTCTCTCCTTTTATTTTAAACAGATTTTGTTTGTGGCAGAAGTTGTGACAACTGCACTGAACTTGGGCTGTAATCCTACAGAGAGTGTTTGTTTCTTAACTTTCAGAATATACTATTTGCCTTGCAGAAGGAATTCTGTTCTTGGAGTTGTAAGGGAAGAAGACCCATATATATTATTAGAGCTGTTTGTACATTTGGACCGTGCACAGAATGTAGCAGATGAATGCTTCTCTATAATGAAATACAATGTTTTGGAGTATTTTAAAAATTATAACAACTGTTTGTATATAGAAATATAAAGAGAATGTATTAGGAGGTCTGTTATCTCTCAGGAAGTACCTGCACTCAAAAGTTAATTAGGTTCACATGAGAGCCAAACTGAAAAAAGAAATTCAAATCTCTGAATTAAGCACACCTATACAGAATGTTTAAGGTTGCTAGCAAGCTGTGTCCTTCCATAAACAGAGTTATGTAACCCAGTCTTTGGTCAGTGACTCTCCCTAAAGTACTCATTCCCTACCTTGCAGTCAGAAAGACCCCGGGAATCATTAACATCCCGATGACAGCTACTAGATGTGCCCTGTGACCCTCTGCCACAAGGCACAGTTAGGGAGATAAACAGCATTTCCTGCAGCTGCTGACTCTGCTGTGCCCACTCTTGCCCAGCCTGATCCAGCAATGGCTCCTGCCACCTCACCAGTCACTTGGCTAGCTTTCATCTTAGGAACCCTGGCAAATGAACACTAGCAAAAATAACAGCAAAATTAACATAGGCTGCATAATCCAGCAAATCTCACTAAAACTTGATGGCTCTGGATTTTAAATGTAGTGCCTCTAACCCTGCAAGCTCCTTTGCCTCTTCTTTTGGAGACGCAAAGTATTACAGGGAGAAGAGACACCTGTGAATTCACATCATCATTTCTTACTCCCCTGTGTGATAGTACCTGGCTCCCCCAGGAGCAGATCCCAGTGTTTTAGTCATGGAGCTCACAAATGAGGTTTGTTTAAGGAGGCTGAAGCCTCTCTCCCTGAAACACCTCCCTCTGGACAGCAGTGACAATGGCATCAGCTCCTTGAGGGGCTCTGGGGTTTCTCACCTGCCTGACAAGTCTGTGACACTAGCCATGCTGTAAAGGTTTTTCAGAATTTTTCAGAATCCTGGTCTTCCAGGAGATCTTAAAAAGGAGCAGACTTCTCAGATGCTGAGGATTTTTGCATGTTAACCAGACTCTTAACTGGATCTCTAATTCAGGAGTCCAGGTTGCATTTCATTGCACTCTGAAGTACAAAGGGAATGAAACCAATGAACCAGCCCACAGACCATTTAATATAGCTCATCAAAATTCATCATCACTATTCATCATTCTCATGAAGAGCGTAAATGCATTTTCCCTGTTCTTCCAAACAGGCAGGACAACAATAAGAACAGAGAGTGCAGTCCCTTTCTCTGACAGAGATTAAGACTGATTAGTATGTTGGTGGATCTCAAGCTCCCAAAGCTAGTAAAGACCCTTGCAACTACTTCTCAGAAATACTCAATTTACTATGTCCTTATTTTCTGACACTGTAAATAAAGTGCCCAGAAAACTAAAAAATTCTCTACACCATCCTGAGCACAACATCCTATTAGCTCTCAAATTCTGAAGACAGTCTGCAACTTATTAGCATAAAATACTGCTAAAAATGTTACATGAAATTAAAGGTGACACTGAAACACAACATGAACTGTGAAGAGGAATAGGGACGAGTCTTGAGGGGAGGAACTGCAGATGACTGAGCTGTGAGGAGAATTTGCTAACACTCTGTATGAAGCTCAGAGTTACAGACTGATGCAGTACAGAATCTGGAAAATATGAAAGCTAAAATTTAAGGCATCACTCCCTTCCAAACTGCTCAAATAAACAGAGCTGCTGGCAGCTGTATAACAGGAAAATTGCTTCTGTTCTGACTGGCAATCCAGAAAGCTCATGCACTCAAGGCCTGACGAGTGAAGACTAATACAGCACATTTAAAGGATAAGTGTGCTTTGTACATTGAGTACATTCTTCTTGAAGATGTTCCATTAGTAATACTGAGAAATGCTCAAGTACCTTTACCAGTGACAAAATCACAGCAGCAGCTAGCTCTGAAACATTTATTTGCTGGCCTGAAAGCAGAATGGGAGAAAAATAAGGTTTTCATTTGTTTCAAATAAAAATGTGTATTTGTTGAATGAGTTTGCCTGCAACTTAAAGGCATACAGTGAAGTACCCAAATAGCCAGTGCTTTTGAAAGCTTTTTAAGGCTAATTATCCTTCCCAAAGATGCACACTTCATCCCCTTTTTCAATAGAAGATTTCTACTATGCCTACACATAAAATAAAGAAGATACTTGAAACAAACTGAAGCACAACATGTGCTCACTTGAACTCTGAGCATTTGGCATAAGCTTCCTGAAAAGATGGCTGTCTGTGTAAAGACACATCTGAGTAACAACTGTTATCTGTAGATGAAGGGAGTGAAAAAAAAATTTAAAGTATCTTATTAATTGTGCTAATAATTGTTTCTGTGTTATGTCTTTAAAAGTGTATGGAAAATGTTGTGTATCCTACTTCTATATATTAAGAGCTGCTTAACCATGGAAATTATTTTATCTTTTTCCCTTCCAACATTTTCTAAAATGCAAACATAATTGATTGGACATCCTGAATGCTGCTACCAAGCCTCTCAAGCCCTGCTGACAGGCACTGATCTCTTACCTGGCTTGACTGCCTCCATGACTGCCCGTGATGCCTTCAGCACTGCCTCATAGACAGCCCTCTGCTCTGCTGTGAACTTGCCATTGGCAGGGAAGGTGCAGGTGATGTCAGAGCCATAGCAGTAATATTCTCCTCCCATATCAAACAGGCTGAGAAGGAAACACAGGGGAAAGAAATGAAAATTTAGTTCCAAAGAAATAGTAGAACATAGTGGACTTTTGTCTTGCTCTGCACTCAGTAACATCTACATTTTGGTAGATCACCAATATAATCACTGCTTGAACCCTGTTCTACGTAAAACAAGATGACAGTCCCTTGGGATCTCCTGGCAGAAGGGTATCTGCATTCCATATGGCTTAAATTGTCACCCTTTTGGGCTGTGCTGGTTCAGGATGGGAATGCTCAGAGAACGCAGAAAGGAAGATAAAAAGTACATGAAGACTCCACTATAAGCTTCTCATTTCCAGTTTCCAGGAATTCTCAGAGGAAAAAACATGTCCTTTTCTTCTTTCCTGAGAAACGCTAGGACCACATACAGCATCCAACATCCAAAGCAGAATCCCACTTGACAAAGAAATGTTAATGGAATAAGGATTATGGAAAGATCCAACCATAAAAGTACACACAGTACAGCTTTCTGCATCAGAGGCAGAAGAAAGAAACTATGAAGTGCTTTCTTTTATGGGGACAAAAAAACTGGCTTACCCCTTGAGAAGCATATTTATTCTATACATGAATAAATGACTCACCACTGATTGCTCAGCTGCCAGAAATCAAGCTACAAGAACAGCAAGCGGGACTCCACACCCTTGTGAGGATCATGTTAGACATTTGCAGCATTATGCTTCTCAAGCCTGCTTGATAAGGCATTGCATTGCCTTCAGCAGGATCAGAAATCAGTAAATAACCATCTGGACCAGACAACACTTAAGCAAATAACCCCCTTAGTTCAGCACATATTGATTACAAGAAGGCACATTTTACATACAAGATTTTGATCTTCACACAGTGTTTGCGTGACCTCCTGATTTCTCTGGTAATGAGTCAGAGTTGAAATCTGTGAATTTAAGTCTTCTTCCAAGCACCCCAAACAATTATGAGAGGCTAATCACCGTAAGAAATATGATTTTCCTTCACTGTGTTTGAAAACCTTGGAGTTTTCCTCCTCTTGCTGCTTCTTCACAGCAGGGTCAGTCAGACAGCACAAGCAGAAGGCAGGGCACTCCACTGGGGCACCCTCTCTGCCACTGAGTCCTAATTACAGCAGCAATTAGGAAAACTCTGCACTGTAGCTCTGTCCCCAAGCAGCATATGTGACTAGGTAAGGATAAATATAAGCTACCACAAAAATTGCTATCACACACTGCTGTAGCTGATCACCCTTTCCAACACAACTGCTACTGAAAGCAATGGACAGTGAGTAAACAAAGGCAAGCATGAGAAAAGTAAAAAATATTTCAGCAGGGCTAGGACTCTCCTTGCTGCATTGCACACACAGACACACAAAGATTTTACTCCAAGAACTTTTAAAATCCACTCTACAATTTCCTCCATGAACAAATGTCTGCACTGAGTGAATCTCTGCCCTGCCTGCAGTCTTTGCCAGCCTCCCCAAACTGGGCAAGGTTCAGCTGCAGACTTGCAGGACCGGAACATCAGGAACTTCCCCAGTGGCTGCAGCTGCAGAGCTGCACGAGGCTTAAAGCTGCAGGAGCAAACTGCTCAGGAGTGCTCCAGAGAGAACTGCAAAGCCCCCTGTGCACACACCACAGCCATTCATCTAGATATGGAAAATGGAATGTTAATCCAGAAAGTTGCTAGTTGAAAAATGACACAAAACAGGCAGCAAACATCAGGGTGAAAAAACCACGACTGGACACCAGAATAGAAACTGTTAGCCAGCCTGGCCAAACCTCAAAATCAGAAACCCCATCAACACTGCCTAAGTCTTGATTTTATGGTTAGACTCACATCTAAAAATTACTAAAGATGCACATAAAAAATCTACAGATACAGAAAAGCAGTTGCAACAACTGGGAATCATGGAAGAAGCTGCTACATGCTGTAATGTACCAACAAGAAATCAGCTCTAAATCCATGAATGTATCCCAGACTGACTCTTTCCAAGTCACAAATCAAGTTTCAGGATGCTCTGTGGGTTCTGCAGCACTTCTGTGGCCTAACTGTTGCATTTACAAGTGTAAATGCCAATTCAGCATGGTGACAGTAAAGCTGTGACTAACAACTTGAGAACCCCCTGTACTGGAAGTTGCTGTGCTTTGTATATTTTATTATATATTTTAGCCTGCAAAGTAGTTATTCTGAATTTACCAGAGGCAGAATTTTACCTATGTCTTTAACCTTACAATTATCAGCATTTTCTCAAACCCATTCATCACTCAGTAGGCTGTTAAATAATTTTTGAGTTACTGAAGAACTGAGCAATGGAAAAAAAAAATCACAAAGCTGATGGTACACCAAAACAAGGCTCACAAGCTAGGAAGCACCATTTGTTCAGGTCTCTTGGCTTCCAGACAAGAGGAGACATGAGGGAAGATGATCTTTCAAATTCCACCACAGATCACAGCACACCATCCAGCCTCTATGCTTCAGAGAGAAAGCATCCAAACCAAATGGGACATCTGGGAGATATTTTGGCTCTTATCAGGAATTCTCTTCCATTTAACTTCAGTTGGGAACATATCCATTAGCTAAAATGTTGCCCAAGACATGGAAATAGCCAAAATATTGTAGTTATACTGAGAAAATAATGGGAACCTGAGAAGATCCCAGTTTCATATATTTGCTTGCCAAAATAACATAAAATAAAATAAATGGTGAATAAAATAAATAGTTAAGCACATTTATATCAAATAAAATGTATGACAGCTACTATCTTTTCCTGTTGACTAACCAGAAAAAAAAATTCTAAAAGAAGGTTCCTTAGAAAAAATACATTTATTTTACCCTGAAATTAGATGGTAAATTGCTAGTGAAAAAGATACTATTAGTGCATTCTGGTGTGTTCTCAACTGCATGTACAAAATTACCTGTCTGATAATGTAGTCTTAAGAAAGTCACATACAGAAACCACTACTTCATGTTATTTGGACTGTTATCAAATGTAGCAGCAATATAAACAAATTAAATGCAGAAATGAAAACAGGCCTACAGGCATCTTGATCTATAGCTTACCTCTTAAGAGCTGTTTAAAAACAGAACAACATATGCAATAATAGCATAAACATTCACCAAACCCTACCCTATCATATTTCCCTTTCAGATAAATTAAGTGCTACACATCTAGCAGACTGTGTATATTGTCATTACATATACATTGCATATACTTTACATTTTGTATAATAAAACTTAACTGTGAGTTCAGTTTTCTGCTGAATGACGAAAAACTTCATTCTAAAATACCCTTTCACCACTCCTTTTTCAGCAAGAACACAGTTGTGAATTGCTGATTTCAATGAGGTATGTCTGAGGCTGTCAGGTTCCTGAGGCATTTGAAAGGGATGGTGAACAGAGGACTGCTGCTGACCAAAGAGAGATATTAGGTTTTATGTCAAACTTTTCATTGATTTAGCTTGAAGCTGAGGAGGCCAGCTCAAATCTCTTTCAAAGCCTTCTGAGAGAAAGCTAATCTTGCTCTGCATCATTTTGTTGTGAGCAAAAGCAATGCCTTCATTTCAGGGTGAAAATGCATGATGCCTAAAGCAGATTTAACAGTCAGAAGACCTGAGCACCCCACGAAAATGTCATGCTACTGTTTTAATTTATTTTCTAGAATTACCAGGAAGCTATACCATAAGTAGAAGATGCATAGCACAAATAGTCCAACTTCTTGGAAGTATGGGCATAGCTCTCCCAGTGGAGGCTTCAGTTCTGTGTGTATACATAATCTTTCCTACAAAACATATTGCACAATACTGTAAGCATTACTAATAAAACTAAACAATGCAAAATGTCAGAAAAATCAGATAACATGCCAGTTGCTTTACTGACAGAATGCCTTGCTTACGTACCAGTAATCCAACATTAGCCAACAGCGTTGGAATACAAGGTGCCTTCTGCCTGCTTTACAAACCACCTTCGAAAATAACTAAGAGCATTTAATTACTTTCACAGGGAAAAATATAAACCCACAAGCTTAAATCATTTTGCACATAAACCAGTATCATAGTCAAAAAGGAGAAACGTGTGTGACATGCCACAGCATTGCAGAAAGGCTTGGCTGGACATGCCCCTCCTCACAGCAGCTCCCCAGCCCTTCCCAGCAAGTCCCTGCAGCAGTTCTGCCATGTACAAACCAACTGGGGCTCTGCTCCCCGTGCAGGAACCCAGGAGGGAAGTTTGGAGGAAATATTTCAAGTCCTGTCAATTTTAAAATGAATACAGGTTTGTAAGTCAATGCTGGAACTGAAACACAACGTGATGCACAAAAGCTCCTTTCCCCTCCTTTCCCTCTGAAACAAAACGGATGAGTAAGACATGGCTGTGTTACTTTCACAGAATATTGGCACCACAAAATGCAGATTTATAGTTACATTTTTTTGCTTTCAAGCCAAGAAAAATAATATGCATTTTGATATTGAATTTAGCTTTCTTAACCTTTGACTGTGAAGCACCATGAAACACTTTGTGTAACACTTTAAATTTGAACACTGTAGACTATAAAAAGTCATAGTTCTTTTCTTCATAAAGTCACTGTATACCATTTTTCAAAAATAAAGCATCATCTTTCTTTAAGCATGTGTTTTACTTTTATAGGCTTGCTGACACTTTTATTGTCAAATAATTTGAAACTGCCAGGCAATAAAGCAAATTATGACCAATATCACAATGGGAAGCAATACTTTATTTGGGATATCTGAGCCATGTGTATGAATTGTTATGATCCAACCACCAACCCAACCCAGGGACAAGCTCTCGCAGGCATTTTTTGGGAAGCCTACATCTACTCCCACGAGCTAACACATAAAGCTGTCACCTTCCTGCTCCACAGATCTGCTTGATCTGTACACTCAGAACTGGATCTCCTCATGATAGTTATAAAGCAATTACTCTAGTGCAGCTGTTGATGTGGCAGAGTGATGACTGGGGTGAAACCCAGGTGGATGTCCTTGTGCAATGCACCCCGACC